ATCCTTCAATCCGGGCATTCTTCATAGAAAGAGAAGTGAGAACATGCAAGTTCGCAAGGGCAGTCAGTTTGTCTATCATGAAAACTACTCTTACCAACATATACTACCATTTTCAATAAACAAAACTGTTGCCAATTAACACCAGTAATTTGCTATAAATTAATCAAGCATTTTGAAAAAATATCTTGTGTAACTCATTTCTAGTAACCATAGCATTGCCAAAAACGATATCCCATGAACATTTTTGTTTTCTACTTTTAATTATTATTACTCTCTCTTGTGTGCATATATATATTTTTAACGTATTCGTGGCTTCTTGCTATTTTAGTCAAAATTAAATAAATGTGATTTGTGTATAAACATGCATTCCTATTATTAATGGATACAAGATAAAATATTCCTCATTATAAGATTTTATTTCGAAGACTTAACTTGTGCTGTTGGATGCACGAACAAAATGTAAGCAAAGTTTGCTATCTTCATTGATTATGACTTATGATTATAGTCCAAAAATCCTGGAACTAAAATTAAAAACTGTGCATATAATATACAAAATTTCTGAAACTGCTAAACAAGAATTAATAATGGTGCAGTCAGGTCTTAAAAATTCAATGCAAATAATGACACTGAATTCTGAAAATTAAGCTACTTGAAAATTCAAGATTAAAATGCTTTTAATGTATGATGGGTTGATGATGACGTCTTCTCCCATACCTTCAAAATCTGACTATGAATTTCTAAAGAGCGATAAACAAGCATGAGTTATAGTAAATCTATGCATTGACAGTTCTCAGATTATCTACATTAGACATGAAACGATTACTACCACAACATAACAAAAATTAAAGTCAAATCAAGAGTGCTCAATCTGAGTAGCAAATTATTATCTTCTGAGAAAGTTATACAGTACAAAGTCCGTAATCCGGAAGTCCATTATCTGGAATGATCTATAATCCAGACCTCAAAGCCACAAACTTATGCATGCGCGTTTGATGCACGCGTCCACTACGCATGCGTGTAAAGCCAGCGAGTGAGTGAGTGAGTGCACCGCTATGATGGCTTCCGACCACGGACATGAACCAAACGGAATTATATACCATCACGGCGGGGAAGACTCCAGAGTAACAAGGTTGAATATTATAAACTAATAACAGTTTTTACATATTGTTAACTGCAAGGCACTAAGCGTTATTTTGGTTATCTGCTTTAAGTTCTGAACTTTTGAAACATAATATTATCCACGGTTGTTTCTGCTTAGGCAGTGTCCTGAGATTTTCTCTATTTTATCAAGGGCTATTCTGTTTTTGAGTGTGTTAGTCGTCCACTTTGCCCAGACACAGTCCGCTGGTGTGCACTTTTGATAGTGAAGAAAGTGACAGAGAGGTTATTGAAAACGAAAAAATTTCGACTGACAAGTTAGTCGGTATTCTCGACAAAGCAATTACAGGTTTTGAACAATGGAACTTTGTAACTGAACAATAAATTATGTCTGTTTATAGAAGAAAGAATTAAAGAGAAAGTATTAGCACAAAAAACGAAGCAACTTACATTGAAAGAAATGTTTAATAAAGTAAACAAATAAATATTAAGCTTTTTTTTGGGGGGGGGTAAATTTTGATACCCTTTAGATCATAATTGCTCTTTATTTCATAAATTATGGTTTCATATTTTTAATTGTATAATTTCTGCATGCCATCTTACCAGACTTAAATTGATGATCTATAATCCAGAAAAACCCCTAATCCAGAATCGCCAAAGTTCCGGATTAAGGACTTTGTACATAAAAATGCCTGAACTTTCCATAAAAATGCCTGAACATGGTGATGTGATCGTGCACATCACTTGACATGTTGGACTTAGTCAAAGAACTGAAAGCTATTGGTGAGAACTTTCCAGATCAGCATGTAGCTGCACTTTTGTTAGTTTCAATCCCAAATCATACAATCATCTTATGACTGCCTTAGAAGCCTGAAAGGAAACTCTTATAACTGCAGATCTCATAAAAACTAACTCACTGACGACTACAACAGAAGACTAGAACAACAAGCAAAACAAAGTTCTACTTCTTCAAGGACATTTAAATCTGCAATACATACAAGAAATTATAATAATAATAATAACAGGGAAATTTTGTATCTTCTGTAAATGCAGAGGTGATAGTTATGAGCATTATTTTAAATTACGAAAAAAAAAATTACAGTTGTTTTGACAACTCAAAATCAGAAACTCACATGACCAAATATATCATAAAATCAAACCGACATTACATGAGCACTAAGACTTCTGATGAATGAAACTGTGAAGCCAGTGGTGGCAGGTTTCAATCAGTGCCAGGTGAAAGTAACTGTCTACGAAAATGGTTTAATACTTACTCTCCAGTATTGCTCAGAAGCAATTATAAATTTAAAAAAAAAAATGTATGTTTATTCTGGTGCAAGAAGTCATCTAACAAGAGATAAAAAATTGTTTAAAGAGCTGATATATGATGATTCACAAGCAAAAATCATTTTAGTGGTTGGAAAAAATTTTATATTCGCAGGGCAAAGGATCTGTTAACCTTGATTTAGAGCATGAATGCCGAGTGCTGAAAATTAGATTGACTAATGTTTATTATGATCCTGATTTAAAGATCAATAATAATGATAATAAGTTATAATGTAAAAATAAACACTGTATACAGATATGGCATTCAAGGTTAGGCCATGAAAGTTATGACACAATCAAACAATAACTAAGAGAAAAATCTTGCTGAAGGAATAAAATTAGATAATTGCACTCATAATAATAGCTGTTTAGAATGCATAAGACTTTGTTGGCATAACAAGAAACAAATTTAGAATAACCATACAGACTCTCCAAACAGATAATGTCATTGAATATACCAGAAAAGAAATAGAAGAATTTCTGTCAAATAGGCATCAAACATCAACTTACCATTCCCTTTTCACTTCCTCAGTAAGGTATGAGTGAAAGAAAAAATAGAAGCTTTACTGAGATGGCCAGGTGCCAGCTGTCTGAAAGCTGACTTTCAAACAAATTCCGGGATGAAGCTCTCAACACAGAAAATTATATCCAGAACCGCTTTCCAGCTAGAGCTTGTGCTAAGACCCTCTATGAATTATGGAGCAAAAGAAAATTAAATCTAGCTCATATGAAACAATCTGGTTACACAGCCTATGTAACATATCTGCTTAAGGAAAATTGAAAAAAATTAGATCAGAAAGCAACTGAAGGAACTTTTTACAGTTACAATTAGCAATCAAAGAGGCACAGAATCTATATGGGATCATATAACTGTTTATGGGTGAAAACCATATAACTGCCAATAGAAGCATAAAATTTGTCAAAGAATTATCAGCGAATGAAAATATAGAAACTTTCCTCCATTCAAAGGTTGCAGATGTTGTAAACGATGCAGAAACTGAGAAAAACCTAAAATTATATCTGAAAAAAGAGCCAAGATAGACAGATGATGAACCACAAAACTAGTTGTATAGTTCTTCATAGTATCACAGTACAATCAGTAGTTACACCTCAAACTACTAAGAGCGTTAAACACAATGCAATGCAAAAAGTGCATCTAAAAGACAAAGATCTTACGGATATATCTCAATACTACAAATTCAGCTCTGAACTACGAGAGAAGATGCTCTCACTCTGGTCTTATATAGTTTTCACCTGGCCAGCGAGAAATCTCTAGTAAATTCCATATCTCAAAGTTACTGGAAGGCATATACAGTAAAGGTTACATTTAAGGGCTGGATACAGTTATGGTTACATATATTGATCAGTTGTATTTATTCAATTACAATACCCATTACAGTTAAACAGGGACCTGACCAAAATGCTGCCAAGTTTGGCGACTTCTCGCCAAATTTGGTGGCAAAAAATTAGTCACCAAAACCATCACCAGCTTGGTGATATTTCGCCAATTTAGCAAGATAGCCATTTACTCGATGTTAAATAGACTTGTCCCTGTATTCTTACTCTTCAGGCAAAACTTCTTTAAATTTTCATGTTGCAGAATGTTCCCCCCCAAAAAAACACTATAATTTTACATATTATTCCATTAAAATTATTTACATATGTACTAAATTCGCAACAGTATGTATATTTAGCCTCCTCTGAATGTCGGCAATAACCTTCTTCGGCTTCTTTGGTAAGAAAGTATGTATACACTTTATGCTACGAGGACAGTTTTCACATCTACAAATCTGGATGGATTTTGACACTGAATTTCACTTCATAATTATTATAAAAACAAAGAATTATATATTTAATGAGAAAGAGCAGAAAACTAAATCAAACCTACAGCATTATTAACTACATGATGTAGGGTTTATTAAAAGTATGTGAAACATACTGTTAACAAAGCACAATTTTTTGCTGTTGTATGCAATAATTTTGTATCACATTTTGAATCAACCCATAGTACTTATTTTCAAATATGGTAACATATATAATAATATGTGTCCTCTTTCGCAACTCTATAAATGCACCATTGCTGATTTCTTCCCCTGTTTCAGAAGAAACATTTTCCTTCCAGGATGCTCAGAAGACACTCAACCCTGTCTAATAATTAAAAATAAAACCCCACTTTAGGTCAAAACAAAGTCATACAACTCTGGAAACTAACATCTCTGGAAACTAACATATGTTAGTTTCCAGAGTTGTATGACTTTGTTTCTGGAACTTCTGGAAACTAACATATGTTAGTTTCCAGAGTAGTACTTACATAAGTAATGGCTTTGTGATGTCTTTAATTTTTCTGTATTTTTACTAAAAAAATGCAAAATTATCAAGCATAAAAGAAAACAGAAGAAATTAAATTAAAATTTCACCTAAATATGTTAAACATATATTTGTAGCATAAATGAAAAGTTAAATTCGTATACTATGGAAATTTAATGAAATATTTAGAAGAGCACTTTGCATTACTGCAATTTAGAAGTAGACTTCATATTAACATTCATTTTAGTTTTCTCTTACAAAAGTATTACCTTGCAAACTGAGAATGACTTGTGTAGAGTCGTTCAATTTGAATAGGAAATTTTACATCACAGCTTGCAACCATATTTTGAATTTTAAAGTTTTTGAATCTCACCTGTAAATATAAATTAATACACATGAAATAAATATACTCTTTTTTCCTTCAAGTATCAAAGCAAGATTCAATTTTATAATTTTTCATATTACTTATATAACTATTAAAATGCACATTTAATTCTTAATAATTATTCTTACTGTTATTATTTTACTACTTACAAACACACCTTATTACATAAATTTTCTATTTGAAAATTATATTTTTGGAAAACAATAAATACATTTTTATTGCTGAGTTTTCTGACAATTCACATGCACTGTCATGATGTGCACTACTTATTACAAAGTGTACACAGCTTTATCAAATATATTCACTGTATCTGAAATAATTAAATAAAACTATTTATTTCATTAAATATTAATGTGATCATTGACACTAAAAAGAGCAAATTATATTTTTTATATTTAAAACTTATTTTCATTTTTTTATTGCTAAAGTATAAAGTAGGCCTCAATGCTTAATCCAGTTTTTTCTCCTTACTAGCCAGACACTCATTAACAAAGCAGTTATAGGAAATGGCCCAATCAATTGGTCATTTAGTCATTTCATCACCAAGAACATTGGTTAGGATGCAACACAAGGGTGACTGATATTACACTCGTGAAAGGAGGATACAGATTCTTATGTCTGATATAAGCAACTATTTGCTTTCATGAATTTTGTTACAAACTTTGTTGGTTCAAATTAAAATATGAAGAAATGTCTTTGAAGTTGCAGAATCCTGTGAAAAGCTTCTGTGAATGGAGGAATTCATAAAATGGGGATTATGATAAAACACGATTTAAGATGAGAAATTTTTTTAAAATTTTAAATGTAAAACAGTAGTAAAATGAAATATAAATGCAGAGTTACATATATCCATTACAACAAAGTTATGTATGAAAATTACATAAATTCATTTTGAAAAACAGTTATTTTAGTTTATTTCGACTGTTGGAAACAACATTTCATGCCATAATAAGTCTAAAATCTTTACAATGTACTGAAAATGTCTTCTGATACACTTCTGATACGCTTTCTTTGAACAGAAAATCATGTTGTAAAGTATCAAATGTACTTATCATATATTCTGGCGAAGATTTGTACATTCATTTTCATTAATGTTTTCATCTTCTTCTTCATCATCAATCAACTTCTGACTGGTATTTTTTATGCTCTCCAATATATCATCCTCAAGAAGAATTCCTGAGGTCTCAGTATCATTATCTATAAACAAATAATCTTGTAATTGTTTCTTACTTTTTAACTGACCTTGATTTTTCAACTACAGCCATACATTATTCAGTTCATCTTACCCACTGTTATCACTGATACCACTACTTTTAATAGTATCAATTTTGGTGATGAAGCCAGCTTTACTGAAGCAACTGTGAATACAGTACAAAGTCCGAGATCCGGACTCGTCAGGACTTTCACGAATCCAGATTTAGGATTATTAGATCATCAGTTTAAATCTAGTAAGATAGCATGTAGAAATTATAAAATTTAAAGTATGAAATCATGATTTATGAGATAATGGTGCATTTATGATCAAAATCATAAATGTTTCTAAAATTACAAAAAAAGGGGGGACCAAAAATATTCATTTACCAAAAAAAAAAAAAAAAAAAGGGGGGGGGCATTGTTTAATATTTATTTGTTTACTTTATTAAACATTTCTTTCAATGTAAGTTGTTTAAGTTGCTTCATTTTTTGTGCTAATACTTTCTCTTTAATTCTAGCAGACAGACATAATTTCTTGTTCAGTTACATTGTTGAAGTCCTGTAGTTGCTGTGTCGAGAATTCCGACTAACTTGTCAATCGAAATTTTTTCGTTTTCAGTAAACTCTCTGTCACTTTCTTCACTATTGGTAGCGGTATTTTCTGGATCTAGAACCATACTACAGAATTTCATCTTTGGTTTTACGATATCCGAAAACCTTTAAAATTCACAGCTATGATCATAAAATTTAGCTATCATTCACTATACATATTTGGCTATGTATCATGAGATTGGCAACTAAAGAGAAGTTGTTCCGCTAAATTTTATCTTGCTTCTACCGCACTCTGAGACAATTAAACCTGAATTGTATTAGTTTAGTTATTGATTATACTTATGTCTATTTCTTGTACATGTTTAAGGCTTATCCGAGTCCTGAATAAATAAATTCCCACATATGCTTAAGGCTTATTGAGGACCAGCGCTAGATATCTTACTGCCTGATGCAGCCTCTGTGGGTTCTAAATTCTGCTACCAAGCACCTCCCTTTGTCTTCGCTAAATTCTGCCACCCGCTGTGGCTATATGAACCCTGTTGCTGGTTCTGGGTTTACATGAATAACAAATCAGTTATTCTTAATTCAAATAGCACTAAATGTAATCTTTTGGCCTATGAGTATCATTAACCCCTTTCAGTAAAATGACGAGTCTAGCTGGTGATTGGTTTTTCATGCCATATCGCACAATGACAAGCTACACTCGTCATGCATACTGTTGAATATGATAATTAATTTAGTTTAAAATTTCTAGTGTACTGAATTTGGCAACACCTTTTTTACTTGTGTAAATATCACAGATCCTATCACATATGTTTACCAATTAGGATTTCTTGATACAACTCACGGCCGAATTGTTGTTAATCTGTAAGATTTCATTCTTGTAAAAATTTATGTGAGCATCGGTCAATATATATTTCTGTAAAGGAAAAACGGTACTTTGACGTTTGGCCGGCGCAAATTTCCATTTCGCTGGCGCATGCGATAAATTCGCCGAGTGTTGAGTTTCATGAAGTGTGTATGATTTATTTATGGTTGGTGTGAAGAATTAACTTCAGTTAAATGGTGTGAAAGTTCTTTCAATATTGTTCCAAAATTCAATATTTAAATATTTTTTATTTATGCATTCAAAATAAAAAACTGGGGAAGGGAGGTTTCGTACCGGAAGGGGTTAAGAAAATATAGTTTTAGCATATGGAAAGAAATTTTTGTTGAATTTTTCTTCGCCAACATTTCTCGCGCATTCAACTTAAATCTCTAATCATCGCCAAGCGTAATGTCAATGTAAAAGTTTACCATACTCTTTATTAAATTACTAATGTAAAAAAAAAAAAAAAATGTTTAGGCATTACTCAAGTTGTCATGTGTTGATAAGCATGTAGTGATGAAAATAAAATATAATAAATAATGATTCACCAGGTTGGCATCAGGGATATAAAATATTAGTAGGTGTAAAATCAATGATGTATCTGTATAGAATGTTTTGGTTTGAGGTGTATACCAAGCAGATACAGGTTGAAGCCAAATTCTCGATCACACAAATTTATGCTAAAATGATTGTTTCTTCAATAACAAGGCATTTTATTTAGTGACAAAATGAAATTACGAATCTGGACTCTCCACGTGTTTTATTATGCATGGAGGAGGGAATCAAATGTGCATGCATATAGCATACCCCCCAAAAAAAGTTGTTGGTTGCATTGAGGTCCAGATTTTAGATCATTCCGGATATTGGATGTCCAGATCTCGGACTTTCTACTGTATTTGTTTATTTACAGTGACATCATAATTCTATACTTCTGAAAGTTCAGATATACTATCATATAAACTTATTACACATAAAGGTTGATTACTTTCAAATCCTATAAAGGCCTTCTTTAAAATTCTTCTGCAATAAAGCAACTTAACACTTTTCATCACCCTTCAATCCATATGCACCATTTTTATTACTAACATGCTAATTTTGCAAGCATCAAAGACATCTTTTCGTTTATACATTTCCATGATTTTTTTCAGTTTTCCGTCTTTCCATATGATACAGTCATCTTCATTAATATCTTTGCTTTTGCCACATATGATTTTTCGACTATTCTATTTTTTTTTTAAATGTTTTTGCAATCACCGTTGCTTACATGAAATTCAGTTCATCCTAAAGTTTCAGCAAACTTCGTAACTTTTTCAAGTATCAATGGGCCTGATATTGGTATATTTTCTCTCTCTCCCTCTGCTCAGACATTTTGATGTTGCTTTATCAACAGCTTCATAAATACACACTTTTTTACATCTAGCGTTTTGTCTGATAAAAATGAAAGTTTCACAAAATTTCATCTTAATTGTTCAGAACTGTCAATAAACTATTAAGCAAAACTCTAAATTTTATGAAAATGTCTTCCTTCTTTACACCTTTGTCTACTTTGTAGAGTACTAACATTTTTATTTCCTTGTATGAAGTAAAAGAAGTATTGTAATCACAAAAAATTTCAGGTATCATATTTCAATGGAAATATCTATTCTGACCATTTCCAAATCCATTTGGATGAATTTTTTTTTTTTTTTTCTTTTGCATGATGTCTGTACATACACACAGAATAAAAGATTATTTTCTTCAAAACAGATTTTAAAATGGATTCAAAAGGGACTTTTTCATGACTTCTGTAGGTCTATATGTACACACATATGCATCTCCTAAAACTCAAAAATGAGTAGCTGTAGAACATTGAAATTTTTTATATAGGACTGTTATAACATCTAGTTATGCATTTTCATTTTGTATTACGATTGGCTACACCAAAATATATTCTTACCCCGCACAAATGTCTTTTCTGGCCTTTATTTTCACAATCATTGGTCATAGTCATATGCTTCCAATTACATAAATGTTTTAAATGACAAAAATTATTCATGCTTTAGCAATGTCAAATTTAAAACAGAGAAAATTAATTTCGACAAAAAATGAAATCTAATCTTAATGCAATTTCCCGTTTTTATACTTATATTCAGTAAAATTTTAAACTCATTATGAAAAAATGAAATTATAAGAAATTGGACTTCCATATGACAAAAATTGCCCAGCATATTTAATTTCAAAATTTGTAATTTTTTATGTCATTTTCAACCTGACTTGACATATTGGTTATTCAAGTTAGATTAATTCAAAAAATAAGTTTAAACGAAGTGCAGCAAAAAATGCATATAATTTAATAGGCCGTACAAAGAAGTCATGTGGTGTCCGCATCATATTTTGTTTTTAGTGTTAAATACTTTTGTTTCAAGATTTTTTTCATTCAATACACAACCAAATATAAAAAGGGTTTCCAGTATAAAACCACAAAAAGCAGAAATGCAAATAACGTACAGCTCTTGCTTAACCTTAAACTGGTTTGCAAAATAGAGGGACTGGTTCAGGAATTTTTAATAATAGGGTGGGTAAACGTTTTCTCATTTGAGAATCTTCCTTCCCCTACTTCATCCCTCATGCAGAACAAAATGTGATTACAGATAACGAGCCACCTGCTTTTCTTTAGAAGCACATGCATTCCACAGCAAATGAACAAATTATTTCAAAATAGAAAGAAAAATCTCAAAAATTCACCCATTAAAAATCTACGTTAAATACAGAGTGTACTTCGCTATTAGGAGTATTTTATACAATGGAATTTACACCTCAGGTAGAATTCCATGAAAAACTTTGCTGAATAGAGAAATTTGTAAAATAGAGCATTAATTAAATAGAGGTTTGATGGTATTTGAATAGTTCTTCAATGATTAGAAATTTCAATTCTTTTTGAAACATTTTGCTTTCTTTTTTTTTTTTTTTCTTCGAGGCTTAGAATTTTTATATTACAGTCAAAAGTCGTTAATTCGGACACCCATAATCCGGAATGTAAGACCTTTACGGCTGCGAATATGTTTGTGCGCATGCGCGTTTAATGTGTAACGGAGGTATAAGCTAAGCTAAAATTATCTAATTCAGTTAATGTGCAGATTGGTTGTCCTTAATCTTCGAATGGACCGGGCTTATTATTTTTGCAGACTGTTAGAGCAAATTTCATAAAGTAAGCTTGAATTTCGATTATGTTAAAGATCCATATTATTACGAATATGTAATTGTATCTACAAGCGAAAGTATGTTTTGAAATCTATATGTTATCAATTCACGTGGCAGATTGCACTCGAGTGACAAATTAGTCGGTATTCAACCAGAATTATCGGACTTAAACAACGGTACTTTGTAACAAACAAGAAATTATGCTGTTTAATAGAATTAAGAGAAAGTATATCACACGAAAAGAGCAACTTACTTGAAGAAATGTTTAATAAAGTAAACATAAATATTAAGCTTTTTCTTTTGTAATTTGATACCTTGAGATATAATGTCTTTATGTCATCATACGGTTTCATATTTTTAATTTGTAATTCTGATGCCATCTTACCAGATTAAACTACTCTATAATCCGGAATCGTGAAGTCCTGACGAGTCCGGATTAACGACTTTTGACTGTATTTATCAATATTTAGGTATCTGTATGTGCTTTTCTCTATACGAGAAACTGAAAACAATAAATTAATTAAATATCAATAAAAATAAAATAATTTAAAAAAATAAAAGATTGGTTTAAAAATGCAGAATTTTTAATTTTTCATCATTTTGCATGTCGAGACATATTTTGCAGTGAAATAATGTATGAATGCATGTTATACATTAGCTGTCTAGAACTTTCATATGGTTTCTTAATATTTTAACATAATTTCTGAGAAGCAAGCGAAAGCATTTGCCAAACTCTTAAATTGTTTCCTTGTAGTTTTATCTTCTGTTATTGTTTACCTTTTGAGCAAAGATATACTTTTCATAAGCTTACTCAAAGTACTGTATACTTGCAGATTTTATTAAAATACATCCTCTTTAAATTTTGAACATTAGAATAAACTATGCTTTTCTTCTTTTAGATGAAAATACTTTTAATCTCATCTTACATAACATTTATTTTAAACTAAATTCACAATGCATCTTTAAACCATTTAAAGTGAGTTTTATTCTTTCACTTTTACATGAACATATTACAATTGTTATAAAATTAACAAACAGAGTGATGGCTAATTGAATTTTTGTTGTTACTTTGGTAGACGGATACACGGATTTTTGGCGATTTACGTTGGCGCAATCGTTGGCATGGTTTTTACAATTAAGACACAATAACACGCCGAATAAATACTAATTCAGAATCAAACAACAAAATCAGCGTTAACCTACAAAATTTTCACAGTGAAATTTTGTCGGTATACGCTGATTTTGTGTTGACTCTGAGGTTTTACGTCGTCAGCCATTTTGAAAAATTGATGGTTTTACGTATTCTACGCATATAGTAAAAGTATCAAAACTTTAATAATAATAATAATAATAATAATAATTAATTAATAATAAATCGTTAAAAAAATGGATAATTTTTGTTTGAATTTTTTTAAAATGGCTGGCAAATTAATAAATACATTTACTAAGAGTATATAAAATGCTAAAGTAAGGTTAAATTACTTATATAAAGAATAAACACCGCTATAAAAACATTGTGCCAACATTTATTGGATTAAAATATTACTAAATGAATATGATTAAAAACATCATACAACGTTTAAGAATTAAAATATTACTTAAATTTAAATACGAAAATAGTTTCAAGGTTTATTATTTAACATTAAAACAATATGCAATAAATATCCAGGAAGTTTTTTTAAATTTTTTTACTTTTTTAATAAAAATTGAAGATAAAGTATATAAAGAAAAGTATGTACTTACTTTTGAAGTATTTACTGTCGTATAATTGATACCCCTCTCATACACACACACACACACCATAAAAAAAAAAAAAAAAAAAAAAAAAAAAATTTTGTCATCTGTGATCAACATTTTCTCGCACTTCATTGAAGAAGGGCAATTAGCGAGTGTCTTCCAAAAATTTAAAATAAATTTCTCTGACGTTTATAACAATTATAAATTAAATCTTTGATTAGGAAATCCAGGGGCCACAATAAGTCTCAAAGGGTAATTTTTTTATTCGATACCCAAGAATTCTTGTAATTACCATAAAACATTCTCGTCAAACCAACATATCCATTCCAAGTTGAAACCTGAGAATGCGAAGATAGGAAATAAATGAAAATTTAAACATGAATGGTTAATGCCCAAATATTCAGTAACCAATAGGAGCTATACATCCAACAAAGGAAATTAAAATTTTTAAATAATAATCATTAATAAACCAGTTTTTAAACATGCAAATTAAATTATATTTTAATATTTAACAGCAATAAATAATATTGTAAAACATTAGATTACATTTATAGATATTAAACTAATTACTTAAAGTAAGGTGATGTCATTGATACACATCCCACACCATAAAATGTCAGATCATAAATAATAAATTTTTATTCAATAAAAAACACAAAAAATTAAATTGATTTTAATTATTTAGAAGCCATAAAATAATATTTAAAACACAGAATTATGATACAAAACAACATTATTTTAAAAATAAAATTGACAAACAAATATCAGCTACATAATAACGTATCCACAGGGGTTACATAAGTGTATTGCTCGCCAAAACGTGCAACATCTACAAGCAGCACCGAAATTTTGGACTTTATTAAAAAAAAAAAAGTAAAGAGAACTATGTAAGTCTTATTGTTGAACATGACCAACTTTTAGGAATGACGAAATAATAGTGGATGCCAGTACATAAAACATATATTAAAACAATAAAATAATGATGCCACTGAAACTGCACATAATATTAATTAAATGCTCGGATCTCACAACAATTAGTAAGTCAAATAATTACTGAAAGCTTACAGGCTTTCTTGAAAGAATTAACTAAAAAACAGAATAAATATTTTTAGATTATACTTACATTAAATCCTAATTTCTGAATAAGCCTGATATTTCCTTTGCAGCGATTAGATCAGATCAATGAAACAAGAAAAGTTAATTCAGAAGTGAACAACAAAAATCAGCGTTTCTGTGAAAAATTGAAAATATAAGGCTGATTTTTGTTGTTTGACTTCTGAATTAGTATTTGTTCGGCGTGTTATTGTGTTTTAAAGACAAAGTATATTTCCATTTATCTACTGAGTTACTGAAGTGACACATACATTAAATTTCAAGATGCTAATTTGAGAAATATTTTTCTATGAATATTAAATATAATCAAGAGATAACTAATAATTTTATTTTAGCATTATTAAAACATAAATTTTTATACACAAGTACTGTCACAGAATAAAAATGTAACATTAACACCTTCCAGGTTCATTTTATTTCGGGATTATGGGTAAAAAAATGTCAAATTTTTTATGCTTATTTTTATACATACATAGCTTTTTAAACATAATAGCATGATTCGCATACAAAATTTCCTAAAAATTAATGTAAAAAAAATAAATTTAAATAAATGAGTAATTTACCTGTATAGTTGGCAATCTGTATGGCAGAAATCATTAGACTTTGGAGTTAATTCACACTAACTATAAACATAAAGCTTAGAATACCTAGCTTTTATCTTGAATTAAATTTAATTTATATCCTTTGCATTTACATAAATGATTATGAAACTATTAATCAAAATTTGATCGTGTATGATACATTCAAAAACACATTACTGCACAGAGTTCAACATCGTAATCTGGACAGTAAAACCTTGTTTCTCTATTTACCTTCTTTCCTCTACTGTCTCTCTTTGAGCAGCAAATAATACACTGTCATGTTGGATTAGTTTTCTTCTCTGTTGGTGGAATGCAGTCAACAAAGCATCTTTCAAACAAGTGTGAAGGCAGGTGCTCAACAGAAGGACATCCTCCTTTTGCAGAAAATTCCACAAAGTGGTACTTTTCAATTGTTTTCTCAACACATATGAATTCCACAGTGCTATATCCAAGAAAATGGAGAAATATCTTCTTGTAATATTTTTTCCCTCTTCTTTTAGTGACATTGTAACTTCTTAGTCTTTGGTCTACACGGTCGACCCCTCCCATAGTTCTATAGTAATCCACTACCACTTTTGGTTTCATTTTTGTTTTCTTCCTGCTGGTAACTTCAATCATCTCTGTGTTGTGCGCAGTGGAAAGTTGTGCTACATCCTTTTTGTCCTTCCATTTCAGGACCATGACTTTTCCCTTTTAATATGCAGCAATTTCTCCCTTTTTCGACATCTTTTTTTTTTTTTTTTTAGCTCAACAGGCATACCTTTCCTGTTCAGACGAACTGTGCCATATATATCGGTTTTACACAATATTAGCAATTTGGCCAGTTCTGGGGACGTATAAGAGTTATCAGTAGTTACACAGTGCCTTTTGTTGAAAAGGGGGATACAATAGTGTGTCGTGATGATACAGGCAAATTTTTGAAATGGATTTGCTTGCTTATTACTTTGAAGAAAACATAAATGATCTGTCTAACATAATTCATAATACTGCAGTTAAAATTTATAAATTTCAGATTTAGTTACTTGGAGAGCTGAATTTTATTATTTTCACTTTTACATATATACTTAATACAATTTTTAAAAAGGGAAACAACACTTAATGTTATTACTATTAAAACATTATAAATTTTTGATAACATACCTTCTAGCTCCAGTTACAACAATTTTCCCACTAGCAAAAATTAAGGCAGCTGTTCGAGGTTGCAGTATACGCATTACAACAGCATGGAATCGTTTCGGATTGTATTCAGCATTGCGTAACCGAAAAGCAATTTTACGCAAATCTAATTTACAGCACAGGTCTACTGAGCTCACAACATTGCTAAAAAGAGATTTTTAAATAACTTCAAAATACTGCATCAGAAACATTATAATCAATTCTTCTAATATAAAGAAAATTTTACGTTGATACACATATCATCTAAGACAAACTAAAACTATGATAAAATAAAATATTTAATGCATATTTAAGGACACTTTTCCTGTTTTAATTACAGCATACATACAGTATTTTAAAGTATTTCCTAAATTATAATTATTACGGTATTAAAATATTACATGGTATTAAAAAGTGAAAATATTGATGTTATTATATATAAAATTACCCGTTATACCTTAAAATAATTAAAATGATATAAGGATTATAACCTGTGATTATAATATGATATAAGTATCTAGATACCATAATCATTGGTAAACCCATTATAGATTTTTATTATTTATCCTTTTCAAATATTTTTAAACTTCATATTACATGGCATTAAAATGTTAAAATATTGATGCTTATTATATATAAAAATTCATACCTTAAAATAATTAAATATGATATAAGGATTATAACAGCTACATACCATACCATTGGTAATAAAATTCCAGATTTTTTATTATTTATCCTTTTCAAATATTTTTATATTTCATATTAACTGATGAACTAATTATTCACAATGTATAAGGACACAATACTTACTGTACTTTTGGAATGATTCCAGAATCTGTAACAGGTATCACAGGTAGAACTGGCGGCAGTGTAGAAATAGATGGTTGAATTATAGCACACTCTGGTGCATTTTCTTCAGCTGCATCATTTATTACCTAGAATTCAAATTAATATCTCACTGAGACACTTTTCAGCCATTTTTGTAATGCTATTCAATAATAGATGAAACGTGTTTCCTAGCATTTTCAGCCTTCAGAAGGTAAAATTTAGTTTTCTATCAGCTATTTAAAGTCCACTTTATAAGTGGACTTTAAAGACAGTATTTCTTGATGAAGAATAAGACAGAAGAACAGAAAGATCTTGATAAAAGATCTTTCTTTTATCAAAGATCTTGAGAAAGATCTTTCTTAATAAGAAGGACAGAAGTATTTCTTGATGTCTCCTCTTAGTCAACCTTTAAGCTTTGGTTGAAAATAACCTCTCAAGTGCTCATGGTTAAAAAGTGTAATTAGGTAGCACAGAACGATTTTTGTGCCATACCTAATTTTAACCAGTTTTGTACTGAAGTATGTAATGTATGGCATTAGAAAAATCTTACATTAATTTTTAATAATGGTACAAATACAGTGAGTTTTTTCTAATGACTACTTGCGATTTCAGATGATTTTGAAGTTTACAGTGGTAATTATCTTACAGAAGTTATACTGAACACTGAAATTTGTTTGCATTCTGAGAAATACTGGTCACTTGATTGCCATGATAGAATTTAGTGTATTTATAAAAATAATTGATGTATATTATAAATTACATGAATTAGATACATTATGAGATAAGAGATATTAAAAATAAAAATTCAGTAATATATGATAGTTTTAAAACTCTCAGTTTGCGAATTTAATTTGAAGGATAAATTAAAGATGTTATGTCTTGTCTAGTGGTAAAAGTTACTAGGCTGAGTGCCATTTGATGGCTGAATAAGGCCATTATGAATTTGGTCTGTTTCCATATTTAATTTTCGAATCTTAATCATTTAACAATAAGATGTTTTTTATACAGTATACTTATATTTTCCAGGAACCAATAAAAATACTTTTCTAATTCTACTATCTTTATCAGGTTTCATTGCATAAATAAAGATAAAAAGGAATTTTAACAACAGAAATAATATATAATAATAATTACAACATTAATTCAAACATCAGATAGCTTCACACAGAAAAACTATCTAGGCATTTTTAAAGGAATTTAGGAAAGAAAAATAAAAACCTTCCTTAAGATGGTTTTAAATACACAGCAAAAGGTTGGATTAAGAATAACTTGGCTTATGAGTATTTTGCAAGGTAAGTAAAATTTTTTAAATTAATTTTAACTTGACAAATGAGCAATGCTTGGCAATACAAATTATCATGCCTTAGCCTGCCAAGTGCCACATGATCACAAAGGAGTCTATAGTCCCCATCCTCTTGCTGCAGGATTGTGGGTAATCATGACCCACGTTCAGGCTTAGTCAGCATGTCTCATTCATATAGTGAAAACTGTAACCACTTTTTTGTACATATTTTCTTTTTTTTAAGTGTAGTAGTTGTTCTTTATTAACTGTAATAATACGAGTAGCTCCTAAGAAGAAAAAGACTGAAATCAACAGTGGAAAGAAGAAGCAAACAATTATGTTAGAAGTTCACATAAAAATCATAAAGAAGCAAAAAAAGATCAACCTTAGATTTTATAAGAAGTCTATGTTGATGATTTGCCCCCCCCATACCGAAGAAGAAAAAAACAATAAGGAGGCCAGATTCAACGAAAGGAGTCACAAGAGTGTTGAAATAACAGCCAAGTGTTCAGGGATTAAGTAAAAGTTATTCCCGTCTGGATAAAGAAGCAAATTTAGGCAATATTGTGACTGATATTTTTACGTGTAAGAAGGCAAAAGCCTTGTACACTGATATCACAAGTAAACTGCCTGAAGAAGGCTCCAATATAAGAAGGGCTTGGTTTGATAACCTTACAAGAAGAAGAGGCATCCACAGTATTATGAAGCATGGAAAGGCTGCGAGCATGTACACTAAGGCTTTTAATGCCAAGTTCGAGTAGCTAATGAGTGTTACCTGGCCTCAGCAAATTTTTAACTGCAATCAAAGAAGGCCTTTTTTGGAAAAAGATCCCCAAAAAGAGTTATATAAAGAATGTAATTTCCCTTCAAAAAACCCTAAAAGAATATCTCATTCTCTTGTTGAATGCTAATGCAAGAAGGGATTTTAAAGGCCCTACACATGTATCATTCTGAGAATCCACAAGCTTTCAAGATATTTAATGAGCAAAATGTAATAAGCCAGTTAAATATGAGGAGGTTCAACAGAAAAACTTGGGTCTCGTATATCTTACCTTATATATATCAACAAGGTCTTCAGGCCTACACAGAGGAAATACCTTTTAGAAAGGAATCTATCACTTGCTATTTATGGATAATGCTCCTGCACATGATTCAGGCTAGGAAAATGAGCTACTAGAGGTAGTAAATATGAAAGTTCTTTTGTATACAGAATGCAGTTAAACTGTAACTGTATCTATTATTATCTTTAATCGTAACTGTAATATAGAACAGTAGATGAGTAATGTAGAATAAACGATGTTTGTGTACATCTGTAATCATAACTGAGCAGTACCAAACACATATAAATACAATCTGGGCAGCCCGTCGTTGAAAAAAAAGAAATCTTTTTTCAAGAACCTGCAGCCTCGGTAAAGATGTTCTAAACAAAACATCATGGGATTTGTTTACTGTGAAATATATCGCTGGTAGTGAGTTGTTTTTTATTGGAAGTGGCTAAAAATACTATATATAACTATTAATGTCCTAAATAATTTGATGGATAAAGCCAAGTATCTAAGTTTAGAAAGGAAATTGAAAAAAGAAACAAAAAAATTCCAAATTATATTGGCTGGTGGTTTACTAAATACTGAAATTAAATGTTTTTGCATGAATTGGTGAAGAGCATTGAAAAATTATACTTTTAATTAAGTGAAGGGATAAGAAGGATGTGACAAGTAATTGAAGCTTCGAAAAGTTGCATACCGAAAGCAACGAAGTGTTATAGACATATATTTTTCTGTCGAACAAAATGTAGGATCGTTTGATGTTTCTTAACCGATTTAAGAAATTAGTACCTGTGGATTTGCAGATTAAAGATAGTTTAATATGATAGAATAGTAGTGAATCTAAATAAAATCTCAAAACAGATTATTAGGGAGATCAGTAACATTGGAAAATGTATTAAAAGTGTAAAGCTTCTGATTAGCAGAACTTCGCTGAAAACTTATGAAAAAAAATAGAACTATCACGTAATAAATTCGACCTTCAGAGAAAAAGTCGCCTTGTAAGAAAGACTCTCATGTAAAACAAACTAAATCTCTTCAAACTATCAGGAAAAGTACTAATCCAAACCATGTAAAATGTGGAACTTCTAAGTTAACAATGTCCTGCTATATAAGATTGCTTTACTGTAAAAGAAAAATCACTTTCTAAATTGCACTTTTAAAATGTTAATGTTTACAGAATTTTAGAGCATGAGTTCTATATGGTAATGAATATATTTTAGGTCAGTAGAAGATATAAATCCATTTCTAAAATAAAACCGAATGTTTGAAAAACTAAAAGTAAATAATTAATATTATTTGTAAGTTGTACTGGAGCCAGTGTAATGTGTACCATTGCCTAAATTAACAATTAAATTTAAGAGATAATGTTTGACTAAATCAAAGTCACTTAAATAATTACAATGTACTACAATTGATGTAGTTGAAAATGTAAATATTATGTGAAAATCAAAGGGAACAAGGATGAAATAAATTTCAAGTCTAGCAGTATAAAAGTTCCCGTATTTAGGTTCTACTTGCAAAAAAACCAATACAAGATTGTCAGTAAATCTGATCTAATGAAAGTTACAAACTTTAAGGATATCAAGATTTGTTTAAAGGAAGGAATTTAACTGGCTATACATACATTAATTAAACAGGAGCTGTTGGTAAAATGAACCCTGTAGAAATCCACTTAGTTTAAATCCATTAAAAATGGAATTAGCAAGAATGGAAACAGATGGTATTAAAGAAAGTTACCAACAACAAATTCGTGAATTCATAGTGGTAGTAAGGAAAAGGATGGAATTTAAGAGTGTGTTTAGATCCTCAGCCTTAGTCAAATATACTGAGGAACTTATCACATCCAACCTTTGAAGAAATTCATCTCAATGACAAGCAAGGTCTTTAGTATTTTAGATGCAAACAAAGCATTTGGCATTAAACTGCAGATTCAAGTTGTGAATTACTACATTACACTCCGTTGGTAGATATGTTTTTTTAAGGTGCATATGGACTGAGTTCATCACAGACAGAGTTTTCTGAAATTTTAGTATTTAGAAGGAGTCAAATATATATATGACTTATATTTGGGTAAAGATAAAAGAACATGATTAAGATTAAGAAGTTGTTGGACAGAGCCAGAGAAAGAATGTAAATTATTTAAATAATTAAATTGGGTAATAATGAAATTATGGGACATATATTTTCTAAGATGGTTTAAACCAGATGAAGACAAAATTAAGGCTATCTAGATATAAACCACCAAAAATGTGAAGATTAGAACTTCCTAGGATGATTACATATGTTTCTGATTTATAAGTGTATCAGAATTGCATATGTTAGAGATTTGTGAAAAAAAAGTATTGGATGGAATGCAACACTGAAACGCATTAGAAGACTAAAGATTCTTGGTAAATAACCATTTTACGTATTATATATAACATCCGTAGTTTTATCTGTAGATGCATCAAAGGACTAGGAGCAGTCTTACTGCAGAATAGTCCAGTGGCATATGCATCTAAGCATTAACAGAACCAAAGAAGTATGCTCAATTGAAAGGAAACTTAGCTATTGTTTTGGTGTGAGAATTTCACCAGTAATATTTGAAAAATATTATGTGGAAAGTGATCCTAACACTGAATCAATTTTAAAGCCATTAAATAAATGCCTGTAGACACAAAGAATGCGTATAAGATTACAGCCATATGTTTGAGATAAAATATAACCGGAAAAATTTTTATAGGGATGCATTATCAAGATCATTCATGATAAGATCTGATTTCTTTGAGGAGAAATAGAA